TTCCCTGCCCTGCCCCTATCACCACCTTGCCCTTCCACAGGCCAAAGGAACCTTCCAGAACACAGTCCCAGGAATGTCTTCATTTCCAAGAAAGCTGTAAGGAGAGAGCAATGCTTAAAGAGTAGTTCTGATCCTTGGTTGCACATTAGAGCCACCTAGGCAGCTTCCTGAAAAATAGTGATGTTCTTCTCCACTTTCAGAGGTTCTCATTTAAATGGTCTGGGGTGGGACACAGGCAAAGATATTTTAAGCTTCTCGGTCATCCTCTGTGTCATCAGAGTTGAGGGCCACTGACTTAACCAAAGGAATGACACTCCAGCTGTGCAACAGGATGAGACAATGGGAATATCTGGAGGCCTTCCCAGAACTGTCAACCCCCGCACCTGGGCCAGCACTCCCATCCATTTGTCACCTGCTTCCTGCCAGGTGGGCCAGAGGTGATGAGCTGGCCTTATTCCAAGCTTTTCTTCCTGTTTTCCAGTTTGACAGTTCGGTGTTCATAAGCATGGCTCCTTTAGGACTCTGGTGACACTTCTCTTTTTAAGTACCTATTACACTAGGCCTGGGAAGGGAGAGTCCCTAAACCCTCTCCTCAAGTAGTTAATCACTGGGGATGCAGAGGCCTCCAGGGGAACATGGAAGAGGAGGGTTCAGGGCAAATCTTCCTGGAAGAGCTGACACTTCACCAAAGGAGAAGCACGAAAAAAGGCAAAGAGGAAAGGAACAGCATGGAAAGCTTGGGGAAGGGCAAGTCATTTGAAGTATCTGGAAAAAGGATGGGAAAAATATTTGGGAAGGGGACAGGGAAGGCAAAGGCCAGATCAGAAAGGCCGTATGCTAAATGAAGGAGTTTGTACGTTTTCCTGGCAGTACTAAGGGGACTTCGGAAGCAGAGTCGTCAGGTGATAAGATTTTGCATTTTACAAAGATCACTCCGGCCTTAAGGAACAAATGAAAGTCAGCAGTGTGGTTGACACATAGGAACTACCACTCATCTAAAGAGGGAACGAGGTAAATACCACTGCATTACTCTTCTGTGAGGACAATATTGTAATTGTTTTAGGCTGAGAGAGATTGGCACAGAAGGCTCTACGACCACCACACAGGTAATTGCTGGAAGTATTTTAGACAGAAACATTCCAGTGTGGACTCCGGTTAGTTAGCCCTGGATCCACAGCTCTCTGAAGTCAATTAGACAATTTATTTAGGCTGACTGACTTGGAAGGTTTCCCCAAATGACCAGCAGCTCAGTGGCAACTCCAGCATCCAGGTTTCCCATTCAGGCTGCTCAGTATAGATAAACTTCAACAGAGACCACTTGTGCAGCCCTTCCTCAACTCCAGAGTCTAGGAAGGGGCAGAATTTCCCTCCATCCCTTACAGAACCACTATGGGATTGCTGTCTCAAGGAGATCAAGTTTCCCTAAGAGCCCCCAGGACTCAGGTCTGTTCGGCCTACCTCTGACACAGCAAGATGGGTGAACCAAAGCACAGAGGTTGGGGCATTTTTTTCTCAAGCTACCACTGTCATATTTTAGTGGCAGAGGTTTTTGGCTAAGCCCTGAGGATACCAGGCTTCCAAAACCTCACAACCTGGCCTGTCAGGGGCTGGCTCAAGAGGACTCTGATGCAAAGCCAGCCTATTTTCTGGGTGCAGTGGGCCCCCTGCCCAGCCCCTCCCTAGTGGAAACTGCAATCAGTTCTCTTCCTCCAGATGCTGAGGTCCCACAACACCCCGTTTCCCTTGCTCAGAGTTCACAGGATGATACGGAAGTTAGGCACACAGGTGTTTCTGTAAAAAGGAAAAGGAAGCAAGGTAAATATCTGTCTGACTTACTCACCAGGCCGCAAAGGTTCTTTTATTTTGAGCCAATCAGACAGAAGTGGGACCCAGGAGACTGGCACCTTACTTTAGCTAGGGAGTGATGACAGGCAGGCCCACTCTGGCGTCTAACAAAGGAAGCCGTTGCCAAACAGAAAGAAGTAGCAGCAAGAGTAGGCTGCAAGAGAGTCCTGTCCTTGCAGCCTCGAGTTTTGTTTTGTTTTGTTTTTTTCTGTGCCTATGAGGGGCCACGAAACCAGCAACACCAGCCCCCATCTTGCATTGTCAGTACAGCGTGGTGCGGAGGAAACCCTAGACAGGTCTGTCATCTCACACCACCTAGCTGAACAGTTTCTCCAAAAATATTTGGCAGCACAAAGCAACATGTGCCTTTCCCCCAAAGCACACAACCTGGTCACACACCTGACCTTCGATTTAAGAGGCTCATTCAGGGGCATTAAGTACTTTCACAAAATTCCTTTCAAAATCACCAAGCAAGGTCAATATTTTTTAAAATGTTTTTCCCCGTTCTCCAAGGTCATCCTTCTATCTGTGTTTATCTCCAGCTAATTTATCTTCCTGCTGTTGCCATAGATAAAACTATTTTTAGTACCCAACTGGTTTGAAGGCAGATTTGTTTTAACTTCACAATCCCTGCTGGTTGGCATCCACAAATGCCTCTCAGAGCTTTGTTTATTAGCTGACAGAAATGACTCTTCCACCTGCTTTATTTTTTCCTTGAGAGATGATCTCAGATAACAAGGAAGTACAAGTTGTAGGTGGCAGCCACTGAACAAAGATAACTAGTGACAGTCTGGTCTGGTCACACCACCCTGGGCAGCTGACTCAGAGAACTCCCTGCTTAGTGTCAGCTGTCACCACCATTTCTGGTTGGCTTAAATGTCTAGACCAACAAAGCCTGATTCCCCTACAGTCCCTAATTTGGTAAGCTCTTTGGATGCAGCAGAAATGCTATTTTAATGGCTAACGTGTTATTGTTCAAGAGCATCGCTTGTCCAACATCAGAACAATACAGTTTGAGAAACTTTCAACTTCAGGAACAGTTTTCATGACTACTAGTTTGGTTTACAATTGTATTTTCAACACTTCCTGTTCTTGTTTCTCCAAAAAAACCAGTGTTTTGCCCTCAAGCAGATCCAATATGCCATTGTCAAACAGAATATACCAAGAGTTCCACTGAGATGAATGATATTTTCTCCTTTCAGTATCCCAATGTCATTGCCCTGCAAATAGCTACAGCCATCCTGCAAGCCTACATACTCCAGTGTCTACGCAGAGGTGGGCCTTCCTCAGATACTCCAGGGAGAACCTTTCCTTTTAGCTTCCACCCAACTTTGTCAACACACTCACCAACGAAAACAACCATCACTCAGGTAGTCTGTGACACCTGCCTCCTCAGTTTGAATGGATCCCTATGCCACGCCTTGCATCACACAGAAGGATATCTATAAATATTTACTGAACCACTTACTCAATCCAAGAATCACAGCTTCCCACCATGCCCCCAACACCTCCACACACAGACAATACCTGGGACACTGTAAATCATAAGCAGAGTTGGAAATCATAAAAGGAGTCTTAGAATCTTTAGACAGCTTCTTTCCAGAACAATCACCCCCATAATGACAACATCCCTATGTGGTCTGACTCAGGGCCCTGACTCCATCAGTCCAAAGAATTTAGGTTGTCTTGGGCAAAAGGCAAAGCCTTCTCAATAACATGTCCACTGTGCCAGACACCAAAGCACTTATAACTAAAGAGGTACTTGAAAGTAAAAATTTGAAGAAAAAATCTTCAGAAAGGTTATCTAGTATGCACAGTCACATGTGCATCCACCCACCAATATCACTCTAGCCACTTATCTCTGGAAGGGAATTTTGACAATTTCACACAACTTGTGCAACTCAAACCCTGTGGGACTCTATCCAGACTCAGGGCCAGCTTTTCAATGACTTCAATCTTTCTCAATTGCAACTGTGTTGAGGATTTCCATAGAAAATAGGCAAATATCTGTCTTGGAGTAAGGCTGGGACTGTGGTTGGAAACCCACTTGGGCCTAGTGGGGTCTTGCTTTATGAAGCTAATGATTGGACAACCAGAGTCTGTCAACCCAAAGTGTCTGGTGTACACATGCACAGCCCACCCAGAACCCAGCACTCAGCCCACACCCAAGAGCAAAACAATGTCTTTCTTCTAGAGTTAAAGAAAGACAGCACTAAGGTGACTGCTAGTCCCTTCGTTGAGGTATGAAAAAGCAAATAAGCGTGTCTGCAAGACAACAGACAGGAGTACCAAAGGAGGCACCGGCTTGGGCTTAACCACCTACTTTGCTAAACTTTGGGAAGACATAACTAGAGAAGTCTCAGCCACAAAAAAGAAATGCCAAATAATAAGTATTGAATATCATGATAAATGAATGAACAAGGCACAAACCAAAGCCCTGGCAGTGTGCTCTGAGGTACTGATCCTGGAACGGGAAAGATGCGAGCTGCACGAGCCTCCCGATTCTTTCACAGAGCATCTGGAGAGGTGAGAAAAAGCTACAGCAAAGATCACAGAGAAACTGCTGGAGAGGGTGCCCACGGCTTCCGGGGCTACGCCGGCTGCCACCGTGCTAATATTTAAATCAGAAATAAGAAAGTGGTTTGCACAAACCTAAGTCCCACACACTGGGCTCCGGGGTGGCCAACAGCGGATCTCTACTTTGAAAGGTGAAGCCTACCTTGGCTATGTCCATTCCAGAATCACTGTTATTCTATCACCAGTGGGGACAAGTGACCCTTTCTTCTAATCGCTGTTAGGAGGAAAGTTTGAGTGTTACAGGCATTCATGACTTTGAGTCTCAAGTAGGGACAATTCAGAGATGTCCCCCTTATTTTTTAAACTGGTGCCACCAATAAACTTGGCTTGACCGAGGAGGCAGGAAGGAGAGGAAATCCCTGGGAACTCCAGAAAGTCCCCTAAGGCCTTTGGCCGTTCGGGAGCCCCTAGGGCATCGAGAAGTAGGGGCACAGGCGGCCGGAGCTGGGGCAGGACCACCGGAAAGTTGAGTCCCATGTGCGGCGTAGGGGCCTGGGGCCCGCTCCCGCGCGTCCCCATCCTCCGACCCCTACAGCGGGGAAGCGGGACGGCGGCTGTTCCCGCCCGCAGCTACTCACCCTCCTGCTGGGCGCCCCGGGCGCCCTGGCGCCGCCGCCCGAGAGCAGGGTGACGGTGGACGTAGAGCGCAGCATCCCGCAGCGGCAGTCGGCGGCGGGCTCTGCTCGGAGCTCCCCAGCCGCTGGAATAATCGCGCGGGACACGCCCTGCGCGGGGGAGGTGCGGGCCGGTAGCCGCTCCGGCTGCGGCTGGGCGGGCGCGGGAGGGGGCGGCCCGGCGGGCTCGGAGGCGCGGAGGGGGCGGGGCGGGGCGGGCCCCGAGTGCGCTCGTCAGACCCGTCAGGCCGCATTTTCTCCCCGGCGCGCAGACGGAGCCAAAGTTGAGCGCTGTGGTTTCCCTACCGCGCGGCGCTCTCCCAGGTCCGTCCAGCAGCGCAAAGGAGCCCAGGATCCCCTGGAGGCCCAGACTCTCTGCTGCTTGCAGTGCCAAGGTCCACCTGTCAATTCATCCTTTCTGTGCTCAACCGCCCACCCCAACCCCTCCTGCCCCAGGAGGCTCTCTGACCCCCCAGGATCACTGGGACCCTCACCCCGTATCATTCATCCAGTATTGAGCGCCTACCATGTGTCGCTCCATCAGCCAACACAATCGACCGGCCCCTGCCCTCATGGAGTTGGCGATCTGGCGGGTTTACAGAGATATGCCCCGTGTCAGTGCTTTGGTAGAAGAAGGAGATACCTATGGGAGTGCGCAACCTGGCCCTAGCAGATAGCATTACGCAAAGGCCTCCCAGAGGAGGTGATGACTAGGCTAAGACCTGAAATACAAGTAGGAGTAAGCTAGGCATAGATGTTCCTCACAACTGCTTATATTTATTCAATGATTGCAGTGGGCCTGGCGGGCAGGCACTTCACATGTTTACCTCATTTAATCCTCACAACCAGCCTTTATGGGAGTCACTATTATTATCCTCTGTCTCCATTTTGCAGATGAGGACATCGACTCACCAGGAGATGGAGTAACTCAGAGGGGGCCCCACTGACTGGTAAGGGGCAAAGCTAGAATGGTCCCCACAATCTGACCCTAGTCTACTGGCCCCCTCTGCTGCTCCCCTAACAGAGGGAGGAAGGAATTCCAGGCCAAGAGAACTGGCATGTGCAAAGATTGGTGGAAGACAAGCCAAGGGATGGCATACTGTATGAGAACTGAAAATATCACAGTGCAAGGGGGAAATGGTAGAGAAGCCTCAGAAGGTTGCTGAGCCAGATCACGAAACATTTGGTGTGCTTAGCTAATGGGTGTGCCCTTAATCCTGAGAATAAAGTATTTTGCAGTAGGGGAAGACCAGGTCTCTCTACTCACCCTTCAAACCCCAGGTCAGACACTGCATCACCATCTCTGGGACCTCTCACACTCATGAACCTGGCAGCTCTTTGGGGCTGAGTATTCTGTTAGAGTCGTGTGTGTGTGTGTGTGTGTGTGTGTGTGTGTGTGTGTGTGTCCCCTTCCCCGGCAGTGAGCTTCTAGGAGGCCAGGGCCCATCAATACCCTTCTTTGAACTTTTAGTGCATCACCCACATGGAAGATGCCCAAGAAATATTGCTGAACAGAATCTTAAATGATCATGTGGAATTCGCTCTTTCTGCAAATGTGGAAACTGAAGCTAGAGTATATAAGTGACCTTCTCAAAGTCACACAGCCTATCCTTCACTGTTTCTGTCCCCATCATCACCACAGCCTTGCCTGCATTCTAAGTGCTTTATATGCATTTTTTCATCAAATTCTTACTGTGACCCAACAAGGTGGAAACTGTTATCATCCCCATTTTGCAAATGAGGAAACTGAGACTGGGGACATCAAGTTAATAGGTGAATAGCTGGGACTAGACCGCTAGGTCTTTCAACTCCAGGTCTTTTGCTTTTTTAACAACCTCTGCCTTGTATCCTCCCATCTACCCACCCTTCTAAAAAGAGGTCATCCATGCGGGACCACTTCCCATCCTGCTTCCTCGCAGCCCCCTCTTGGGAGAGTTTTGTAAGACTAAAAACTGGGTCTGCCTTCCAATAAAAAATGGTCAAAATGTGCTGTTGAAAGCCAGCATGGTTTAGAAATCTCTGCCCGGTTACCTCAGTAGAAAGAGGCTAATGATTTTTGTTGTGTTATGTTGCCCTGAGGAGAAAGGAAATGGCCTGCTATTCAGATGGAATCAAAATAGTCTGGCATCATCAATGTTTATTTATATTATGGCAACCACTCAAGTGCCCACCCAAGATGGAGTCAGCATTTGAGAGGAAGTGTGGTCCATGGACTCATTTTTTCCTCCATCCTACTCAGGTCTTTTTCATATTGTTATCGTAAGACTTTCACAATGTATTACACTTCATTACAAAAGCAGCAGACTGCATACCAGCTTGGGAGCTCATGGGAACTAGGTCTTGTTTACATCTCTGCCTGCCCAGTACCTGGAACAGTAATTGGCATGTTGCAAGTACACAGTAAATGTTGAATGAATGAAGAAATGATGGTATAGAGCAATATTTCAACCATGGTCAAACAAAACAGGAACCAAGACCCTTGCCAACCCAACCTCTAGGGTGGGCTAGCATTTCCACATGGTTTTGCCAGCTGAAGCAGCCGGTGCCCCCTCAACTGTCCCAGCCAGAAGAGTTTCCCACCCTGGCTGTCACTAAGGGCTGTGGGTGTGGATTGATTGGACTTAGGCCACAGCCCCTCCCTGCAAAGCCTACACATAAAGAACTGCAAGAGAGAGGACAGTGGGAGCCCCCAGAAAGTGGGAAACGAGAAGGAAAGAAAATGGAAAGACAAATGGGGACTGAGAAATCATTGGCAGGGTAGATCAAGCATGGAGAGGAAAAAGTCAACAATGAAGTCATGGTCACGGGCTTCTATGAAGAGTTCTTGGAAAAGAAGATTAAAAAAAAGGAAGGATTGACGTTTTAAAAAGACGAATCGAAAGGCTGGCACTTGCGCCCCAGCCAGAAGCCCTCCACTGTCTACAGAACCAAGGGGTGGAAGGAGTAGATGTGAGAGGGGCGGTGACAGGGCTCTGCTGTGGAAGGTCTCCTATTCCCCTTTCAGCATTGCTCCGGTCCACTCTGGGCCCCGCCTGAGCCTTGGCGACAGATTGTCACTGTTTGGGCTGGAGGGAACAGAAGCTATGGCAGAACTATCTTAGCTGCCGCCCCTCCTGTCCACAATAATAGACACATATTCCTAAGAGCTGTCCTAAATTTCTCTGCTGAAGCATGGGTCTGTAGAAAATTCTAGACATCTGTAAAAGAGCCCTTCATTTTCTTTAAATCAATCCCTGAATTGCACCTCTTTTCCCCTCCCACTCCTAGAACTCTCACATATCCTCCCAGCCTCTGCTTTTGGAATTGTCCTTTTGCCCTCTGTTGAACCTTCTCCAAACTCTATCAGCAACCTTAGCTGAGGGCATACGATGTGACCCATTTCTCCAGCAAAGTCCTGAGAGGCAAAGACTATATATTCTTGGCTAAAGCCATTACAAATTGAATCGCTGGACGGGGCACAGAGTAAGTGAGCCCAAGCAATGCCAGGCTCCCAGATATTTTGTGCCCTCTTCACTGTTATGTCTCTAAAGATTCTCTTTTTTTCCTCTTCCTTTCAGCTGCCACACACCCTCAAAGTCATGGCATATCTCCTGTTCTGAATGCCAAACAGAGACCAAACTTTCACAATAAAAAAAAGAACACATTTCCAAACCAAGGACAAAGGTATTGAATTACAAAGCCCCTTTGGATAAAGTAGAACAAGAACTGCCCCATTTTCACAGGGTGTCCAAGAAGCAGAGAACAGGGCCTACAGATAAGGAGAGCAGACTGAGAGGAACCCAATACCTTGGCCAAATCAGCCAGATACACAGCATTTATAAGCATGTCTAGACACAGGGGCTGGAATCCATTGCTGGCCCACTCTTGGGGAATACAAGCTCAGTGAAAATCATCTCGCCCTCACCATTTACCCCACAAACAAAAGAATCACTGTCAGAGTAATAATAAGTCAATTAATTGAACCAATGGGTGCCAAGTGCCTACTGTATGCTGGGTACTGGGAACACAGAGATGAGTAAGGCAGCCCCTGCTTTCTAGGAGTTCACAGTTTGGAAAGAGAGACATATTTAGTAAAGCAAAATGATAGCTGACACTTATACAGCACTAACTGCATTCAAAGAGCTTAAAACACATTCACTTCTGAGCTACTCAGTGAAGAAGGTGCAACCATGTCTGCTATTTGGCAGAAGAGGAAATCACATCACAGGGAGGTGAAGTGACTTGCACGTGGTACCAATGCTAGGAAGTGCTGGAGCTGAGCTTCAGCCCCAGGAAAGATGGCCCCTGAATCCATGCACTTGACCGTCTGCTTCCTGTACTGGGATAGGAGCAGCGGGGAGGCACGTCCAAGCACTGCAGAGGGCAGAGGAGGAGCTCCAAGCTGCTGCTGCAGCAGGAAGGACAGGCTTCCCAGGGACGGCAGCATGGGAGCTGGCCCTGAAGAGTGGAGAGGAAAAGGTCAGGCATGCAGGGCAGAGGGACCAGAGAAAACAGTGAGGTCAGCAGGTCTGGGAAATGTGTGTTAGCAAGTTTAGCTTGAACTTCAGGGCTGGAGAGGAATGGTCGGAAACAAAGGGTGGGGTTAGATTGCAAAGAGCCTTGAATAAAGTTGAGAATTGATCTGCTGGTGATGGGGAGCTATTGAAGGTTTGCGGGCAGTGAGGTGATCTGGGAGCAGAGAGGCAAGTACAGATGCAAGGCAGAGACTGCAAGGCAAGTACTCTGGTGTCTACTGAAATAGTATTGAGTGTCAGGTGTCAAGCTCCTGAGAAACTTCCCAGGTGTGATCGGAAACAAGCCCCCATTCACTGAAGGCAGGGAGAGATGGAAGAAATAGGCCACTCCAGGCTGATGGGAGGCAGATTTAATAAGTAAGGGAACTTAACACACGAGGTGTGTCTTGGGCCACCACAAGATAAGTAGATCTCTGCACCTGCTGCCAAATCTTACAAGTTTATGTAGAGGCCTTAACTGGGTTCAGTCTTGTGTACAGTACAGATGGTCTGAACACCACAACTGCATCTCAAGGCTCTGTCCTTGGAGCAGTCTCTGGGAGCAGGTAAGCAAGGGGAACTCATGTTCCAAGGACCAGAAGTGGAGAGGATCCTCTGATTGCTGGGGTACAGCTCATGGGTCAACCAATG